TAAAAATTAAAATATCATGGAAAGATGAGATTCTTAGCAGCTTCCAAACTTGAACTGATTTTTAGAAGTGTTGTTTTTTGGTGTTTGTTTTTTTTTTAAATTTCCCCTCCTCACTCTCCTTAATACAACTAATTGCTGAAAATAAAAAGTTGTCTGACCTGGTAATATAGTTAGCAGGGATTTAGTTAGTAAAACTTGAAAATCCTAGGGTGTTAATAGCTTTCATAGTAATGTAAAGTGACACACAAGATGTAACCTAAAACTTGCAAAAGAGCGGGATTTCTACTTCATTAGAGTTTTGGTTTTGTTTTTTTTTTTTAAATACAAGTTAAGTTTATCTTGAATTGTATCAAAACCAATATTCCTTCAAGTTCTGTGCAGTCAAAGTCCTGTAATCTTTCAGCTGTGTGACGCTGGCACTTTATCCGGTTTCTCCCATGAGAGAATAGATAAAGCTGATGCCAGTTCAGCGGTGGGAAAGAAGGGCACCTGGCTCTGCTGAAGATTCACAGCTTTTCCCTCCTTGTGGCAAACCCTTGGACTGTGCCTCAGCTGTGCAGTAAGGAGCACTGGCTCTGCCATGGTTCTTGGGGCTTTTGGGCATCCCAAGACATAACCTGAATAAAAAAATCTCAGATAAACGAGGATTTCAGGCTTAATAGAAGAGTATGAAAAGTACGATATGGCTGCCTGCCTGAGCTGGGGATGCTGCTGGAGAGATGGATCCTTAGTTCTGGGCTTTTTTCATCATCTTATTTCCTCAAGTGCTCTGTCCTTTGTAGCTGCTCAACATCATCTGCAGAGTAATCAGCATTACTAATCTAACTACATTGTATCTCACTGCTTAAAGATAAGGTAGGAGAAGGAAATTCTAGGTTCTGGCTGGCCACAGAGGTGAGGGTCATGCTTTAGAATTTGTGAGATATTTAACCTTTAAGCATACCTCATTTAATTGTAAGAAAGCATTCAGAAATAACGATCCTCGATTTGTATTTCAAAGCACTAAATTTAATATTACCACCAGATGGCAGCATGTTACATGAGCTGGCAATGCAGAACCTGCTCTGTTCTGACTTTAAACAAAGGTAAACTTGTAAAATCTGAGTTTTGAAAAGTATCAGTGATTCATTTCCAAGTTTTTCCTGTTATGTTCAGCTGGTAGCTAAGTCCTCAAATACTCGGCATAGCATTAACTTTCTGAGACAGGTGACATTATTGACATCTGCCAAGTGAAAACTAAATGTAGCTGTTCTAAAACTTGCATTCAGGTCCCCTTAGCTTATTACTACTCCTGCATGTGACTTCCGTAGGACAGAAGGATCAGGAACTTATTTCCTTACTTCCTGCGGTTTTTTTACCAGTTAGAGAAGTCATTCTTCCTGGTTTTGTCTCAAGGGTAGTAAACCTATAGTACTTGTTTACTTTGTGTGATAAAATGGATCTTGACGTTGATTTAATTCTGATGGTTTTAAGCTAAATTAATCTTAAATGCAGAACCTGTGCTGTTTGGTAGTTAGGCTTTTATGGCTTGGGTTGTTCGGTTTTTTGAGGTGAGCATTGTGAGACCTGACTTCTTGACTCCTGTGTAGCAATATGATCTAGGAAACTCCCTACACAAATCACCAAAAGTGATGATATACTGGTATATTGTGACTCAGAAACCTCCGTTGTTAGCTTTGCAATAGGTGCAGGTGTGACACAACAGGCAGATCACATCTTACAAGACTCACTTTCCCACTTGTACAGGAATGTAATTTTTCTTGGCAGGGTATTACTACTGTTTGAGAACCTAGTTATAATGTGAACACAATTGGAAAAAATGTTATATTAAAATGAATCACTGGATAACAATGCAACCTTTTTTAATGCTGTGGTGCTTATACATTCAATAGTCTCAAGCATAATTTGTGATTTAGGAAGATTAAAACCAAGAGTTAAACATTAAATCTAGACATTTTCCTGATGTTACGTTGTTTTCTTTAATTTTCCTAAAATGTAGCCTAGCTAGAATTTGTGTATTTGGAAGTCTAACATACTGTTTTCACAGAAGTCTCACTTCCTTTTATGAGCAATGGAGGTACTGTGTACTAGAGCCCTTCAGGTGACAGAATATAAATCCAGATTCAATCTGGTACTCCCTCTCCTGAGGTGGTGAAAATAAACCTGGACCCGAGCTGATTTGGTGTGGAAGTGCTTGAGCATCTCTGTATGGAGCTTTAGTGACAGCAGCGTTACGGGGATGCACAGTGCAGCTGCAGTGGGCCTGGGAGGCAGCCAGCCAAGTCCACATGGGTTTTACTGGTCCAGGTCTTGTGTTGGGTGGAAGTAGCTGAATCACACCTGGATCCAAGCTGGCGTGTGAAGGGCTACAGCTGTGTTCTTGCAGTCCCCTGCACGTTGGCTAAGAAATCCAAACTGGATTTGAAGGGAAACCGCTCTGTCTCTCTGCATCCATGGCTCAGTTAATCTGTAAATAGGATAAACTGCCCATAAATAATTGAGAGTTTATAGTATACTGCGTGTTCCAGATAAGCGTTAGAACTTGCAGTATAAAAAGATTTTTAAAAGCTGTCAATTATACCAAATTCACCTTCCTGTCCTCGCTAATTTGGGGCGCTAGTGTGTAATGCCAAAATCTGATATAGTCTTTTTAAAGCAAGTAGACTGCTGTTTTCAGTAAGGTTCTCAGGTGGTTATTTTGAGTCCGCTTACACTTTGAAGTGTAAGTTAACTTAAAATACATGGATGCAGGAAACAAATGGAAGTCTCAAGGGATGCACGTCTCTTTTCAAGGCTGATTAGTTGTAATTTTTCAGAATCCATACCAACTGAAGAAAACAAGAGGTAGATTTATTATGTGTTATATTCTTGTGAAACCATTGTTTTCAAATGGGAATTATTTTTATGTGACCCAGTGCAGCCTGGCATTTTGCCATGCAGAATAACAGTACGTGCTGTTTTAACATGAATATGGTGCACCAGAATCACTGGTGGAAATGTGATAATCAGATTATGTCTCTTCAAGACAGCTGAAAGGTTAGAACTGAGGTGAATGGAATATCTGGACTTTTTCAGATCAACAGTTTCTTAGCCTGTATGTTTAATATTAAAATAGACTGCGCTGAACTCTGTATGCTTTTTTGCTTTGTACCATGCATGTGTAATAACTGGGAGAGTTTAGTGTTACTAAAACACACTGTTTTCAAGTGCATTTTATTATTTTTTTGTGCTGATAGATGTGTCACTGCAGTGAGCTGCTCTTGAGTGTAGCATCCAGAAGATATACTTCATACTCAGTTGTGTTAGTTTGGGATTCGTAGTCTTGGAATTCCCGTTTTGTTAGTCTAATGCAATTTTTATAGATCTAATGTAGTTCTCATGAAATTAATTCAAAGAGCCTCAGCGTACCTGGTCGACATTTTCTGGAATTGTTAGAAGTGCCAATTGTTAAGTGCCTGTTTACATGAAGTTATCATAACACATTTCTAAGACTTCAAGTTCTGTTTAATGTCTTTCTGAAGCAGAGGCAAGCAAGTATTCTTATGGTTCCAGATGTGTGAATTTCCAAAGGTTTTGACTTTCACCTGTCAGCAGGCCCATGTCTGAGGCCATTGCAGTCATTATCTTGGTTTCTGGTAACACACAAAGTTTGATATTTTTTTTCCTTATGTTGAAAACTTCTATTTCTGAGGAATTTGAATGAATTCATAGTTGGCCAAAAGCCAATTTTTCCTCCTCAACTCTAACGCGTGTTTGAAAAACGAACTCACTTCCTAAGTGCCTTGTGAATCTGCAATGATTAATTCTTCTCATTATTTTGCTGCAAATTCTCATGACCCTCTGTGATGATTCGATCACCCACTTAGAGTTTATGCATATTCATATCTTTCCGCTCCTGCCGCAGTCGTTCGAGTCTCCTTCACTGGCTGTGGTGTGTGCTTGGTGCAGTAATTGAGCTGCAGTAGATTGATTACTCTGGGGAGCTGTAAGGCCTTTAAAGGTGAAAACATATCAGTCCTGTTAATTAGGAAACAAAGCTCTGGTGGCAAGTTCAGCAGTCAAATGCTTCCAGTGTAGAAATGAGGAAAGGTATGATTTGTTCCTCTCCATGAACCCTGTTTACTTTTTTATGTTTGAATTAGATCTGTATTTGCTGTAATAGGCTTCTGCAGAAGATAGCATATCTTGTGTGATTGCATGGGGTTGATACTCTAAACCAAAAAGAACTGTAGGTTTTATGTGGGTTGTAATTATTAGCTGCTCTTAATCACCTCTTAAATTATACATTATTTTAGGCAACACTTGACCTATAAAGTTAAATGAGTTGAAAAATGAAATAATTGATTGTAAACTTCATCCAAAAACACCTATATAATTCACTTTTTCAGACCTGAATGTCAAAGGCTTTTCTCTGAATTAAAAACAATAGATTTTCAGAAACCATAGTAAAACTCGGGGCCTCTCTTTTCTACTATTAAGATGTCTATTGCCTATTGTGTGCAAGATTAATTAAAGAGAATACATTCTTAAAATTAGGTGAATATTATATTATAGCATAAGGTTTCATCCAGCAGACAGCATCCTTACATCATCGTTGTAAGTACCCTGTGGTTTTATGTTGCTAAGCACTCTAATCTAGAGTGGCCTATTACAAAGATATTAAGGGTAGGGGAAACCATCTGCCACACAATCTATCCATAAGGGTCAGAAATAAATAATTTAAAAGTAATTTATGTTACCTTAAAAACCACTTTTTCCCTGTAATTACTGGACAACAGATTGTAGAATACAGATGTTATTAAAATGCCACTGTTTTTGTAAACAATGTGTGATCCAGTGCTGCTTCGGGGTACGTTATCGGGTGCTGTTGTCATACCTGGTCCTGCTGAGGTCAGGAAGGAAAGTCTCGCTGGAACAACTGCATGAGATGGAGTCCAATTAGTGCATGTTACACCAAAGGATATCCCATTCATTGTGTTCTGTTTTTTTCCCTCTTTTAGGCATTTATTAACACTGCAAAGGAGATCTATGAGAAGATTCAGGAAGGAGTTTTTGACATTAATAATGAGGTAATTTTTAGTACTCTGAACACTCTCTTTGTTTGGTTGGTTTTTTACATGTACAGAATTCACCCTTGAAGGCTGGACAGTTAAGTATTTGTCTGTTCCATTCGGATATAGAATTGTCTGCCATTGTGATAAAAATGGATTAAAATAAGTGACCCTATCCATCCATGAAGCATCACAAAATAATATAAATCCCCAAAAGAGAAGAAAATCCACTTTCATCCACTTCTCCATATGGTGTCATCTGTTTTCAAAGATAATTTTCCACTATGTAAACGGGGGACCATGTTGATATGCCAGATGCACTCCATGAGCTGTCCAGTGCAGGGGAGGGATTGCTTTGAGAGTTACATAAAAGACTTTTGAAATGTTCCTGGTTTAGGTGACTGGATTCTGTGGGGAATAAAAGATTAGCCATTTTGCCTATGCACATTACTGAAATTACAGATTATCAGGGCCTGTCTCTATGCTTGTTTGGGGTGGGGGTGGGGAGGTGAAGCTGGGAGCACTTTTGTAATGCAAGAGCCTCAAAAGACACATAATGTCTCTTGAATTTTGAAATGATTGTGCTGTTGAAAATCTCGAACAGTTAGGAGACCGGTTCCTGGCCGTAGAAAAAGTAGATGCAAATTCAGCTGTAGTAAATAGAAATACTAGGATTGTATAAGCTCTCAGTTACTATCTGTTTAAAAAGTCATACCAGATAGAGTTTAAATTTGACAATGTGAAGTGGCCAGTCCTTTCTAGTGTCCAAGTTTGGGGTTTTTTTTTACCCTGCATGTCTGTAAATGTCATTGCTGAGGTGCTTAGTGAAACCACATGTGAAAGTCTGCACCGCCACTGTTCTGTGTCCTGTGAATGTGGGACTGGGACTGTCACTCTGATGCTTCCTTTGAGCATTACAGTCCTTGCAGAATTGCTCAGAGAGTCATGAGGGACTTAGCAGGACTTAACTAAAGAGCTTCACCTCTTTCTGCTTGATACATTTCAACACAAGAAAACTCAGACAATTAAAAATGTTGCTCTTACATGATTTCAGAGGGGAAGTTATGAGAAACTTCAGTACTATGCAAAGTATTTGCATTAGGAAACTTGTCGCTAAGTAAGACTTGAATAGTAATCCTTCAAAGGCACTAATTCTGACTGGAAAGTGTGTGTGTATATGTGGTGGTGTGGTGAAACACTTTTAAAATTCCATTTAGTGATGAAAAACGTAAAATTTTATCCAGCAGTTTTCCTAAAGAAAATGCAGTCAGTGGTACAACATAAATTGGGCAGTAATCAGAGCGCCTGAAAAAGCGTGCTCATTGTATCTGTCGAGTTTCATATAGTAGCTGACTGCTTTCCTTGCCTTATGGAGCTTTGATTGCAATATGCTGTCAGGAGCCAACAGTCCGTGCTATTTATTTGGCTTTGTTCCAAGTCTGGCTCCTTGATTCCTCAAGAAGTTGCTATCAGCCCAGAGGGGGCAAAACCAATGAGCCATAGGGCATGCTTTTTATTAAAGAGGAGTCAAAGAGCGAGAAGAAACCACATCAGCTGCTGTCAATACTGAGCTAGTGCCAGAAACCCCAAGGCTACTACTGTTGCAGAACAACTGCCAAGCACTATAAATCTGAGATTTACTGTGACGCAAAGTTTCCTTAAGAGCTTAATTTCTGAAGCTACTGTATTACTTTTCTCAAAGTGCTGTATTTTTAGGTAAAATCCACTTGAGGGAGTGAGGGTTAAGATATAAGTGTGATTTTGATGAATGAAAGAGCTACGCTGTGTGTGGGTTCTTGGCAAGTAGCCACGTCTTTCGGGATCATAGAAATTATTGATGACACAGAACACTCGTATGCCCTTAGCCTCCACAGCTGATTCAACACAAAGAAATGCTGTCTGGAGAGGAAAAGTTTTATATTAAACTATTAAACTAATGGGGATCTTGGTGAGAGGGGAGAGGTTGTATGTTCCTAGCAAATGCTATGTATTTTTAAAGTCTTACGCCAAGTAGTATTCAAACACAACTCTTGCTCTGTCTTTTTGTGCTAGGAGTTTAAGGTGCAAAGTTTAACACAGAGATAAAATTTAAAAGAGAGGGAAAGCATCTTCCTTTAAATTATATTTAATCACTGAGGACACATTGTTAAAAACATATATATGTAAACTTTGCTATATTTATTGTGTGCATGAGGAGAACTTGCTGTATGATCTCGTATGAAAAAATAATAATTACACTGTGTATTAAACTTCATTTCAGGCAAATGGCATAAAAATTGGCCCTCAACATGCTGCTACTAACGCAACACTTGCAGGCAGTCAGGGAGGACAACAAGCTGGCGGAGGCTGCTGTTGAGCCCGTTTTTACTTTCTAGTTGCCTGGATGGGGCCTACTAACTCGTTTGTTCACCCCTCCCTCCCCCCGCCCCGCTCGCCTCCACCTCAATCAGCTGAGACATGAAACTTGTAAGTTGGTTTCCTGTTGCAGAAGAAGACTTTATCCTTCAAATTCTTGTATAACTTTGAATAAATGGTTAATGTTCACTTAAAGACAGATTTTGGAGATTGTATTCATATCTATTTACATTTGATTTCTAGGTCAATTGATGTGATTATTTTTGTTAAATGTTGTCTTGTGCCCTTGACTACGAACTGAATTGTATTAAACACTACGAAGTCATCTGAGTATTTTAATCAGTTGGTGTAGTTAGGTTTCCCAGCTCCTGCGGTTACCTAATGTTTAATATTGTAGAGCTGTCCTCAAGTTTTTTGTCAATTTTCAAGGCTATAAAGAGAAGCGGAAGGACTCTTTTAATTCTGTATTTATCACTTTCTGTATATATAGTTTAATAACCTGCTTGGGTGTACTTGCCAAGCTAGAATTCTTTAATGCATTTGCATAAATTCTATACTACGTAGAGCTTGAAAACTACAGAAGCATTAATAGAAATTGCTTGGACGCTAAATTTTAAGCCTTTTTGACATTGTTAGCATGTTCATCCTCCCCTGCCATTATCCTGAAGTCCAAGAGAAATGCTTAATGTATATTACTAGAGGCTACATACGTGCTATCTCTTTTAATGCCAAATGTTTGCTGTTTGTCCACAAGTTCCACAGCACCTCTTCAGAAATGGATTAGCTGTTTGCCTTAACAAATACTACAGGTAAAAACAGAGTATGAATGAAAAGTAGAGGAGGAGTTGATAAATTTCAAATGGCACATTATAAAAACGTTAATCTTTTCTTAATGCTTTTTTCTTGTTTACCACTTGATTTCTAGGTATATTTTTCATGCAAGGACAGTTTTTCAACCTAAATGTACAGTGGTTGTGTAAAGTTTTCTTTTAGTGAACAACTTGTAATCCTAAATATATGGTAAGCATCTTGTCTATTGTGAAGAGGGTGTGAAAATAAAATCTGCCAGTTTGGAAATCTCGATGAAAATCACAACTAGAAATGCTTTGGTACTTATTATGGTGGTGGTCGGAGGGGGAGGGGACGTTTTGCCTCAAATGAAAGGGTTGCAACAGTGCAAAACAAAATCCTGTGTTCTAGTGTTTATTTGTTAAAGTACAGAATATTCATGTCGCTTTCCTACAAATGAGGAACAGCTGAGTTTCTACATCATCCTATTTATATAAATTGCAGATCAAAGGGTGATACTAATGCTAGGCCATGCTTCATGTATCTAAAAAAAAAAAAAAGGGGGGGGGGGGGGGGACAAGAAATGACTGCAAAACTTTTTTGTCTTATAACTGATACTGACTGCAACATAGCACTGGGGAACGTGAATCCTCATGTCATCCATTCTTATTGTCAGAACTTTAATATCGGAAGTGAGTAAACTTCAGCCTGATAGGTGTAACGTAGCAGTGGCTCTGAGATTAAATAAAGTTTAAAAAACATCTGGAACCTTTTTGTTTGTATCTGGGGGAAGGGACAACTGATAAGGATTTCTGTTAGTTGCTGACTTCAAATCTTCCTTACACTCTCAGAAGCGTTATAAGCAATGCAATATTGTTTTCAAAAGCTTAAATGTGTAAGAGGGTGCTCCATTTGCATACTTTGAACTGTTAACTGTTTATTACATAATATTTATAAAACACAGTCACTTGTTGCTTCAGTTGAAGTTTGAAAATTGTGTTGGATGACAGTGAAACCGTGGGACTGAACTGCATTGATGCTGAGGGAAAACTGGTGTGTAGTAAGCAGGTGCTGACAGGAAAGAGAGAATGGACAGGAGTACTTGCTCAAATTCGCTTCTTAAAGAATTTTTGGAACTGGCAGCATGGCAGAACTCAGTTGCTTGAGACAAGATGGGAGAAAAGCGTGCTCTTCTATAGCAGCCCCAGCTACACCACAAATAGGAGTTAATTTCTTTTATCCATAAAAAATGCCCCTGTAAAGGGAGCAGATGAGGAGAACCCTATCCTGAGAAGAACAAAGCACACATTTTTAAGTGGTGGTTTACAAAGCTGAAGTTTCTGACAGCCCCACATTTTCTGAAAGCATGGAAGATGTATTGGATTGACCAGGAATCTAGGACTATTCTAGCAAAGAGCCACCAGTGCTTTTTTTGGAGGTGAAGGACAGAGGGAATGTGCTGTGTGACACTGTAGTCAGTGTGCACGTTGATTTTTGATCCTGCTGGTTGGTCCTGGTTTACGTGCCAGTCTTAAACTGTTCATTATATCAAAATCTGGTACTTTCAAAGAGAAGCTCAAGCGGAACTGAAGTTGCCTTGCATTCTTCCTGTCTTTTTGTCACAAGATCTGTACATACATAATACTTTCCTTGCAAATTGGAAGTCTGTAGTTTTGTGGTTTTTGGGAAGCCCCTGATCCTATTTTATCCTATTAGAATTTGAAAATTTGATAGCACAGAACCTAGCAGCAGGGTTTACTTTTAGAGCATGTGCTTTACAAGGTTATCCTTTAGCAGGTTTCAGTTTTACTTGTATATGAGTGACTGTAACTTGCTTAGCTTTCATGTTGAAATCCAGTTGCTTTTACTGGTTGCATTTTCATAACCAAAGAATTAAAGCATTTAATTGTTCCCCAGCAACTTGCACAGTTGTTATATGTAATATAAGTGACAGATCCTCCAAGCGTGATTTTAAGATTTGTCTCTCTTATTTCTACTCTAAAATAAGAAGGTCCAAGAATTTTGGCAGTCATTTAAGAAACATTACCACTCCCCCTCCATCTTATACCTGTGTGTTTCTGTAAGTCATACCTGTAAGTCATTCTGGTTTATTCTTGTGCAAGATCGAGCTCAGCAGTGACTCAAGGTAAGTGCCTGCCCAAACCCTTACTGATAAGCTAAAATCAGTGAGCGCTCCATTCCCTGCTCCAGAGATGTCTCCTTTCTGCTGTGTTACGCTTTTTGTGATGCCTAGTTAGTGTGTTGCTGACTGCTTGAAGAGCCTTCAACCGCAATATTTATATATTGGTGGGGTTAGAAGGGCACAGATTAGTTTTAGGCTAAATGGCATACATTTAAGTTGGGAAGTTTATTTCTGCCTTAAGAGTTTACCTGTGAGTGTTAGAGCACTAAATCTTGGGAAGAAAGGAAAAGCTCTTATCAGGGTCTGAGTTACAGTTAAATCTAAGTGGGAAAAAATGTATAGTAAAAGAAACCTTACTTGTTACTTGCACCATGTGTACTGTTTTGCATGTGTGGGGGGATACAATTTGCCTATTCCTTTCCACTATTGCATGGGAGGAGATAGGGGAGAAGAAGGAAGCCTGACAGGTTTTATTTGGATATCTTAAATCTGTTTCTGATATCATGCTTCTGATTTGTATATACTTAATATTTCTCCTCCTACAGTCTCCAGGTTTTCTTCTGTCACATTACTGCAGCGTAACTTTAACAGTATGCAGTGGTGATTTATTTTAATACGGCACTGAAATCTCCGTTTGTAAATAATCCAGGCTGCTGCTGTGTAAGTAGCTGATGAAATGTCTTTACTGGGTCTGCTGCCTATGAAAGAAACCACAACATTAGGCAATAAAAACTACTAACAGAATGTTACAAAACCAAGACCATGACAAAAAAGCAGCATGCTGTGGATCTATCATTTTTATTCTTGGGACAGATTTTATTATTTTTGGAACTATTACAAGACTTATGTTAAATATTGCGGATGATAAGAGGAAACAGACTCTTGGCAAACATGGAAAGCCAATTACAGCATATTACCCTATTCCCCTTCCAATAAAGGAGGGGCAAACTAAAAGTTTATTCTTTGCCTAGCAGCTGGAGGAAGAGGAGGAGGTGGGGGGAGAAAGCCATT